CTAATTGTAAAATTTTGTCGCGTATCACTCCAAAGTGATCTAATTCAATAGACTCTGAATAACTAGTCTCCTTGACCGGACGCGGCTCGCTGCGAATCGAGTCGCATTGTGAGAGCCAGCCTCGAGATTTCGTAACCGGCACTGCAACGAGATCGATCGATTATGGTCATTGTACAGGCGTTCCAATCTCGCGCCACGGGTCGACCTCTGAGCACAGCGGCGCGCGCGCCGATTTCCTTACCTGTCATATTGTCACTATTGCGACTCTTTATTGGGTCATGTAACCTTTAATCGCTCGAATGTGCGCGCCCGCTGCGAATCACCGCGCTGTCTGTTGCACGAACGCACTCGACCGAAAGTAAAAATACCCCGTAACATTAGGAAACATGTATCACGACGAATCGAAACAAGATGATTCAATGCGTGTTGTCTGCGTCTAAATATAAAGTACCGTTGTGTGAATACCGTATCTGCTTGAATGTTGACCGCATTGCGATTTAATGATTTTCCTTCATCGCGCTTTCAGTTAACCGTATTTGCACAATTACCTTAACGGCTCAAGCTGCTGTCGGTCCATGTTAGAGTTATGAATACTGCGTAACACCTTCCTAAATACAGACAACCGTGACCGGTTCATTCTTCACAATTTTAACCAACGTCGCGTGCATTGTGCGGTGATTGCTAGATGGAGTGACTGACTACAAATCTTGATAACCGAGCATTCCCTTCGAGCTTTTATAGTGACAAGTTAATGCATTTCGCCTCGTCCGCAACGACATCTATTAATTACTCAATGTTCACTTTGAATATCAATTGGTTAACGGTAACTTCGTGACGATGCCTTTAGTATTCACTTAAGATGATCGAGCAACGTAATAAGTCATTGAATCGGAAACGTTATCAACGCTAGCGTTTAGAAAATGCTTAATGGCGAGTTTTCGTGGAATATTCACACGAATTTCGAATTCTAATGTTGATGAGCGATCGAAAGTGAGTGTTCCGGTGTTTGTCATGCGTCGAGCGACGCCGGGTGACGCGCGTGCCTTGCTTCACCGTTGACACCGGCGCTGCTCATTTTAAGGCACTGTCACACAAACGATAAAAACATAGCAAATGAACTCTGTTTAAATCAAAGACATTTAAATAATATATAGACGAGGCATAGTGAAATAAAACTTTCAACGGTACTTTCTCTGAAAGGTACTATATCAGTTGTCAAGTTTAATACGCTACCTCGTGTCTTTGTATTGGCATATAATAAATAATATTACAAAATTACAATTTTAAACATTAATAAGCTCCATCTTCTGTTATAAAATAAACTAACTAGTCTTACAATATGAAATATAAACATTCATAAAATATTGTTTAATAACACCTATTAGCAATTCATTTAAATACAATTAACTATATTGACATGTGTGGTTTTGAGGATCTATTAATAGATAGCGTTATTGAAAATAATGTGACTATACCTCCTCTGTGTATTCGAATTTCTTTGGTTTATATGACCTATTTCCTAAATAATCAATTAAACTCTCGTGAAGTTAAGAAAGTTAGTTAATTTTTATTTATTTTCATGTAAAACAGATTTGTTAACTTTTTTACTCCAGAGGTTTGTGTGTCATTGCCTTATTACACTGGCGACCCTCATAGTGGCATCGCACCTGCACATTAACTCATTTTCCGGCTCAAGTGCCATTAGTGTCATTGAATTTGTTGAGATTAATTTCATGGTGGCTCTGTAATCATTCACGGTGTTGACCTCGTTGTTGGCTTTGTTGCATTTGAATCATATTTTCATTTAAACCCACATAAAGTAAATAAAAAAAATCTTATTTTGAATTATGCCTTAATTTAAAATGTCTTTTGCCATCAACATCTTTTACCCAAGTTATTTTTTTAGTATGTATTAAAATATGTATTAGAAAGTTACATTATTCATAGAACTAGGCCAATTTTATTAATAGGTACTATGCATGTTCACTCTTTAGACTAAAACGATAATTTGCTGTCATTAAATGATTTAAAGTGAAACTCTTTAATCTTTGCCTTTCTTCTTGGATGACGCAATTGGGGACTTTGATTTTTTTGATGTATTAACTTATTCAAGTCAATTTGTATTCTATCAACGATATGTTTTTCGAAGCATATGTGTACTTTGTTACGCAATAACCTTTGGCAATCTAGTTCATCTACATTTAGAAAATTGAGGAAGTCCCCCCATCATTAAAATGTATATGCCTATAAAAGTCGACTTTCTTAACGTTACATTCCTTTATTAGTGCCGATACACATTTTAGTAGCACTTTTATTACTGAATATTAATTTTATTTGCTATAAATCTAAGTTATTGACTTGTTTGATTAGAAATTCGTGAATTTCGTCCTAATTTTAGATTTGACATTGTTTTAGAATAGGGGACTACATAATTTTGAACAACAAACTCGATTTTGAAAAAAAAATAAACAGCTATAGACTTTTATTTTTTATTAAATATCTAAGCAATCGAGGGTCACGTTGTAATGCCTACACTGACCTGTTTCATACATGTATACTTGTAAAATAGAGGGTATCACATGTCGCGAGAAACGTCGAAGGTCTACGTGTACGTGGCCCAAGTTCAACCTGTCGGCTGTCGCTAAACAATGTGACATAACGCCCCAGCTCGATTAGACGCCTTCGCAAAGCCTTTTATACGCATAGATTTTTCAAAGGCCGTCCTGAAATGGCACTGTCAACTTATGATGCAAGTTTGCAATATTTATATTATGTTATTTGCTATTTGTTCAATGTTGTTTCACAGTAACTACGACTGTAGTCGTCTATACATTATTTTTTTTTTTCAATCCTACTTAAGTTGGTCGATCATAAGGATGTAGATATTTTGGTAGACTCAGTTATTATGACATGTTTGTTGTTATAAGCATATATCAATTTATAACAAGCAGTATTTATATTATAAGTAGATTACAGACTAATTATATTATGGTTGTTTGCGCAGTGCAACCGCTGCAGTCGGCGATGCTGCGTCGCAGTAGACGCGCGTTTTCTCACACACGTGGTTAGCCGCGAAAACTAGAGCTGTCATATGTTAGGGATTTCATTGTGCATATCGGGCTAAGGGTCGACATGGATCTTATCGTGTCAGAGTGGATGGTGTAAAACAAATCACTTTTTTAACTGAAGATCAAAGTGTACAAATGACTAGATGTTTCTATGTCGAAGTCCTCAAGAAGTCATGGTCTTTGTATTTTTGCTCGTCAGTGTTCAGGTCTCCGTTTATTGAAAGTTGGCAGCCCCAGCGATAACCGAACAAGACATGTTGTTTGCTTTACTAAAGAATCTGTGTTCTAACTACAATCAAATTGACTACGAGATAGCGTTTGTATTGCGTGCTTGCTGGTGAGTTTGTAACACAAATATACCAGACTTAACGAATTGTCCATGCAATTGCCTCTCTTAATATTATGTCGTAAAAATGTGTAGGCAATGTTTAAGTATCTTGAAAGGAATTTTCAGGTCTGGATCAAGACTCAAAACATTAGTTACATTTTTGTTAATGAAAACGTTTAATGTTTGAATTTTTTCCCTATTTAAATTATAGCCCAATAAAACCTGACACAATTAATTTTACAAAGCACTGAAGGTACCGCTTAGTGTAACTGTAAAATACAATAAGGTGACGTGTGACGCAAAAAGGTTCCGCCGCAGGCTGCGACTGTGCGCCGCCGGCTGTTTTGTAATGTGTAATGATGGTGCATGTACCTCGACAAGTTGTTGAGATGC